GAGAGAGAGAGAGAGAGAGAGAGGGAGAGAGAGAGAGAGAGAGAGAGAGAGAGAGAGAGAGAGAGAGACGATAACTCTCCGACCTCGCGGCGCGGCTCGGTATTCCCTACGCGCGTTCCCGCGCACGGCCAGCTTTTCTCTAGGCGCGTAGCCTCGCGCGAACCCGTGCGCGCCTTTTCGACCGGCTTTTCCCTGCGCGTATACCCCGGCGCGGCCTGGCATTCCCCACGCACGTTCCCCCGCGTGGCCAACTTTTCTCTACGCGCGTACCCGCGCGTCGACCTGTGCATTGCGCGCCTTTTCTCCACGCGCGTACCCGCGCGCGAACCTCAGGGTTTCGCCCCGCTGGGCCTCTCCTGCGCGCCAGCCGCGGCCATTTTCGTCGCCCTCTCCTCTCCCTCGGCCTCTACCCCGCGCCCCCCCGCCTCAGTTTTGTGTCCCAAGCGGTTTCCCTTGGGCCCGCGACCGAGCATGTCGCCAGACCTTTTGCTTGCTTTAGTATGTATAGAGAAGTGCAGCCCGTGTGTGTCTGCGTGGGCCTGGCTACAAAGTTTCCAGTAGCTTCCCGTCCGGCCCCAGTGTCTGTGCCCAGGCTCACCTCTACAATTAGGGCCCCAGGCCTCATGCGGGTAGGCACTCTCAAGCAGCCACCGCAGCCTCCAAGTGTTCGCTGCTTCCTCATTGGCTCACGACCCAGGTGTGACTACAATTCTGCCTTCTCATTCATCCGTGGCCACTGCGTGATGTGTCGGCCTCACACTGTGTGTGCCCAGGGTGCAACCACCCGGGCCCTGGGCTCAACTGTACAGCGCAGCCCATGTTTCTGGAAAGAGCCTAAGGGCTCACGATTCTCTGTAACCAATTGGCGTACTGCAACTGTCTGAGTACCCACATATGGAAAAATGTCGAAATTAGGCCTCACGTGGATATTCAGGCCCACCTTCAGTTAGGGCGGGCACAAGGCTTGTTGGGGGGCTCCGCCCAGATCACGTGCATGGCTGACAAGGGCCCCACGAGGGCTCATTCCTCGCACTACATCCCCCTTAGCTTCCAAAGTCCGCTGAGATGCTTCTACGCAAGTGCTTTCCCCTTCAGTCTTCGTTCGTAGTCTGCCACGATCTGAGGTGCTGTCTTAACAAGCTCCTCCTTTGTGAACCAACGATCTTCCTTGGGATCCGTATGATGCCTGAACCCTACCCGGTATTCCCTCATAGGTTTTGGCAGTCCTCCCCTGCCAGCAGGCTTGGGAACAGGCAAATCTTTGTGTTCCAGGATGTCGCCGACGTCCACGTGGCCATCCATGGTTGGGGGCAGCATTGACCTTCTTGTTGGGAACATATCTGTCTTAGCGAAAGGTGCAAGCTTTGAGGCATGAAACATAGGGTAAGTGCGCAAATGTCCAAGAGTTCTAATGACATATGAGGGTTCATCCAAATCATTACCCACTATATCCAGGACTTCCCAAGGACCGAAGTATTGTGGCATTAGTTTTCGCGAGATTCCGAATTCCAGTCCAAGTTCACTAGCCTTAACCCTGACTTGTTCCCCTACCTGAAATGTGGATTGTCGCCGATGCTTGTCCTCAGAGGCAATCATTGCCTCCTGAGACTTTCTAATATGCTCGATAGCCTGCTGCAACAACTTCTCATACTGGGACACCAAACTCTATGGTTCCAGGCGTTGCAGCGGGTCAATTTTTAGGTAGGAGGAAGTCTAGTGCAGATCTAGGCTTCCACCCCAAATGCAGCTTGTTAGGACTGGCGCCGGTGGTGCTATGTACAATGTTATTGTACAGACTCGCGATGAGAGGTAGTTTCTCATCCCAGTCGTCCTAGATGGGCTTAATATAATGCCTCAGCAGATGCTGCACCACACAGTTCATCTGTTTTGCTTGGTCGTTTGCTTCGGGATGATTTCCCGAAGTCATTTGGAGTTGGCTGCCCATCTGTTCTGCAACCTTCTTCCATATCTCACTGGTGAAACGGACATCTCTGTCACTAATGATAGTTTTAGGCAGTCCAAAATCATGTACCCCGTTATCCATGAATGACTTGATAACGTGTTCAGTCCTTGCAGTCTCAGGCATGACGATTAATCTAACATACTTAGTGAACCGGTCTATTATGACGAAGATGTGTCTCTTGCTACTCTTGCTGGTCACGAGTGTATCCACGAAATCCATGGAAATACTTTCTCCCAGACCTGCAGGAATGGGCAAGGGCTTAAGTAACCCAAGCGGGGCTTGAGTTTGTGGCTTGTCCCGCTGACATACTTGACAAGTCTGTACCTACTTCTTCGCATCGTCAAGCATACCTGGCCACCAAAATCGTTGTACTAAATTAACACTAGTCTTCTTATATCCGAAGTGACCAGTCGCGTCATGGCATTCACCTAAAAACAAACTACTCAAAATCTCACTAGATGGAACAACTAATATTTTGAACCCTGCCTTTTCAAGAAAGAGTAACCCATCCCACCTTCACAAACTTATCTGATGTGGCCTTGTCTTGGGCCTCAAGTTTGCGCATGATGTCCATCGTGACAGTGTCTTCCTTGTAGGCTTCCACCATTGACCGAGTTACATTGTCAGATAAGCCAAACTCATTTATTAACACACGTAGGTAGTCTGCCCTACGGGATAGCGCATCAGCAACTTTGTTGTACTCTCCCTTCACATAGTCTAGTTTGAAGTCATATTGATCAATGACTTCAATCCAGCGTTTGAGTGCGCCAAAGAGAACGGGTTGTGTCTTGATCCACTTGAGCGTCTGATGGTCAGTTCTTAAGTAGAAGAACCTTCCCAACAGATAGTGTCTCCAGTGGACAAGGGCTTTGTAGAGGGCGTAGAGTTCCCTTTCAGAGGTGGATTTCGCCAACTTCTTTTATGGCATCTTCTTGCTCATGTACTCGAGGGGCCTTAACTTTTTCCCTTCCTGTTGGACCAGCACTGCGCTAATGCCATATTGGCTTGCGTCAGTGGTCACAACGAATGGCCTCTCCGAATTGGGGACCACGATAATCTCATGACGTATGAGGGCATACTTCAATCTTTTCAAAGCAGTCTCACACGCATCTCTCCATTCCCATGGAGTGCCAAGGCGTGTAAGATCAGTCAGAGGGGCGGCCACCGTACTATAGTTCTTCACAAATTTCCGATGGTAGCCGGTCATCCCTGAGAAAGGTCTGACCTCAGCCACAGACTGAGGTCGTGGCCGGTCACGAATGCTAGCCACCTTGGCATCTTCGGCCCTTATTCCTTCCGCGGATATTTCATGACCCAAGTACAAGATTTTAGTGCAACCGAACTCACATTTCTCTACATTGATCTTATACTTGTGTTGTCGTAGGAGTGAAAGTACTGTTTCTACATGCTGGGCATGCTCCTCGACTGTTCTACTAAAGATAAGAATGTCGTCGAGGTACACGACCATGAACTTATCCAAGTAGTCATGAAAAATCCTATTCATGGCGTGCTGGAATGTACCCACCGCATTGCAAAGGCCGAAGGGCATATATAACAGACATTAATAGCGAAAAAGGAGACATAAAAAATAATTGAAAAAAGAGATTCCAGATAGGAAAATTTAGGGAAAAGTTGGCAAACCCTATTTGAAAAGAGAAACGGAAAAAAAAAAAAAAAAAAAAAAAGACCTTTGGTTAGCCTTTCAAGTTTCAAGACATCTGCCAACCCCTCTTCCCCTCCCCCCCTCCCCCCCTCTCCCCTCCGCCCAATTACACATTCCCGCTGTGATGGCATCTATCCAAAGTTGGGATAACCTGGACAAGGGTATAGGCTCGGTACAGTAACCCCAAGGCTCGAAGACTCCCTGCGAACTGAAAGACCTGGCCAGGCCACAAGCAGAAAGGAAAGGCGTAGCAGATCCTTCGACGGAGCTGGGAACAAATTTTGCAGACAAGGCCTCCTGGTATAACAGAAGGCCGGTGCCGGCCACAGGGTCACCGGAAACGGGAGGTTAGCTTGCCTACAAGGCCCAACATGAACTGGAGAACAATCATATGTGACAGCACAGGCTTCCAAGACTGGGACTGGGCCTGGGCCTGGGACTGTCACTTGCTGGACCAATGTGGAATAGCACGATGCTCATCGGAATCTGTGTCCAGTTCTCTTAGTAGCAATCAATCAAGACTGGGACTGGGACTAGGACTTGTGACAACTGTCACCTACCTCCTGCCGTCATGTACTAGGCAATCATAGTAGCAATCATGGGGCCCTCCTCCTGCGAAGGAGGGCTACAGTGCACGTTAGAATCCCTCCTTCGCAGGAGGGCCCCACAGAGCGTGGTCAGTATAGTCACAATTAAGGCTACAACTCTCCTCAATCAAACAAACAAACAATTACAATGTTCAGGGACGCTGGACCCGCTTTCCAGCACGTGCTGCTCCCCCCACCAATAGATGGAGCCTCCCCGGAAGTGCTAAGGGTGCCTGCTCTTATCAGAACCTCTCGCATCGACCCGGACTGTAAAAAAAAAAGACAAAAAGCATCTATAAATCAATAGATGTCATGAAACACGTACCGCAACATGGACGTTCCTCTTGCAGAGATAAAGAGCAATAGCTCGCCCAAGCTTTGAGCTACCGCCAGCCAGAAAGACCGCCTTCACACCTTGTGGAAGCTGATGGATCAGTGCAGCAGCTGTTAGAGTGTTCCCATGTACCACCCTCACTTTTAGATCCTCATGTTTCTTCGTGAAGACGACCCCTCCACCATTGAGTGCTTCATTCTGTTAGCAAAGGGAACACACACACACACACACACACACACACACACACACACACACACACACACACATCAGCACACACACA